CCACTTGTACGATAAAAATAGGGAGGTTTTGCTAATAAGCCCTGTCTCTAACACCACAATAAATTTAAGTTACTTGTTTTAATTTATAGAATGATGCTGGAGATATTCATATCCTCAGCTCAGCGATATACTGATTTTCAAGAAACCTGTTCACAGTTTTATTCAAAACACGTCTGGTCTGAAACTAGGTCTAATTTGATTGTTAGATAATCAAGTTTCACTGTATCCTTCCTATTTCAGGACCACTGGTCTAAATAAGCATCTTTAATAAATGGCCTCACTGGACTGCTCAAAGCAACAGTTAGAATTAAAAAAAAAAGCTGTCTAAGTTATGGGTATTTCCTCCAAGCTTGAAAGAGAAATAAATTCCAGAAATCTCTAATAGACCTTGAGGCCACATTATTTACGTTTATTGGGTCATACAATAATCAAAGGTGAATTTAAAAATCTGTTAACTGTGCGTGAAGAATTCTTACAGAATTCACCATTCCACTGAAGTGCTTCCGTGGCTCTTATTGATTTCAGATACACAGAAAAATTTGTGTTTCTAATTAAGCTGGAAACCAACCATGAAAACTTGCAATACATGATGTTAAATAGATACATGTGTTTCACAAGTCACACCTAAGAGTCATAGAGTCACACAACACAGACACAGACCCTTAGGTCCAACTCTTCCAGGTTGACCAAGTTTCCCAAACTAAACTAGCCCCACTTGCCTGCGTTCAACCCATATCCTTCTCAATGTTGCCTATTCTTGTACCTGTCCAAATGTCTTTTAAATGTTGTAACTATACCTGCATCTACAACTTCCTCTGGCAGTTCATTCCATACACTCACCACCCTCTGCAAGAAAAGTTGCCCCTTAAGTCCCTTTAAACCTATGACCTCTACTTTTGGACTCCTCTACACTGAGAAAAAGATATTGACTATTCACCTTATCCATGCCCCTTACAATTTTATAAGCCTCCATAAGGTCATCCCTCAGCCTCTGTCACTCCAGAGAAAATAGCCCCAGCTTATTCAGCCTCTCCTGTTAGCTCAAACCCTCCAAACCTGGCAACATCCTTGTAAATCTTTTCTGAACCCTTTCAAGTTTTTACAACACCTTTCCTGTAGCAGGGAAAGCAGAATTGAGCGCACTACTCCAAAAGTGGCATAATCAATGTCCTGTATAGCTGCAACATGACCTCCCAACTCCTGTATTCAATGCACTGACCAATAAAGGCAAGCATACCAAACGCCTTCTTCACCACCCTGTCTACCTGTGACTTCACCTTCAAGGAACTATGAACCTGCACCTCAAGGCCTCTTTGCTTGACAACACTCCCTGGGACCTTCCCATTAAGTGTCCAAAGATGTGCAGGGTAGGTGGATTGCCTATACTAAATTGCTTATTGTGCCGGGGGATGTTTAGGTTAGTTGGATTAGAAATGGGAAATGCAGGGGTAGGGGAATGGGTCTGGGTGAGATGCTGTTCGGAGGGGTGGTGTTGACTTGTTGAGTCGAATGGCCTGTTTCCACACTGTAGGTCTCCGGTTCTATATCTATGTCTCAGGTTCTAAGTCCTGCCCTCATTTGCCCCACCAAAATGCAACTCCTTATACCTATCTAAATTAAAATCCATCTGCCACTCCTTGGCCCATTTGCCCACCTGACCAAGGTCATGGATATGTTGTATTATTTTCTCTCTGCAAGCAGTTTAAATTGTCATCAACATCTATATTAGAGTATCTGGAGGAAGCTGATGAAGCATTCTGAGGATCTATGATCATTATGCAATTATACACAATTCCAAGCGGCATTTCGAGACTTTTAAGCAGCTCTTGGATAGGCACAATGAGGATAGTAAAATGTAGGGTATGCAGGGTAGATTGATCTCAGTAGGATACTAGGTCGGCACAACATCGTGGGCCAAAGGGCCTGTACTGTGCTGTACTGTTCTATGTTCTATATCAGTTAGGACTCAATTATATGAACTAAATCATAATACCAACGCACTCAAGAATTCTCATAGACTGGATATCATGTTTGTCAGACTACATAGAACACCCTTTCCCGACACCATCAACACACCAGCAGCACTGTCCCCCCACTCCAATGCATTGAGGTCCAACACCATATGTCACAACCTGGCTGTGATGTCACCAATTGGAAGAGGGTCACAGGGATCAGATCAGATCAAAACTTTTTTTTCAATAAAGTGACTGGTAATTTTGAGTCCACGAACCTTTCTTTATCTTGGTAAAATTTGTGTATTTCACTGTTTTGGTGATTCAAATAATTAACATATCGGAGAACAAACTACTGTATCTTAAAATTTAGCATGCATATCTGCATAAAAGGATGTTGGAAGCAGATTTGCGAGAAACTTTCAAACAGAATTAAATAAAGACTTAAAGTATTTAACTGTGGTATGTGGAAAGAGAGTAGGAGAGTGGGGATCATTAGATAGCTCTTTCAGAGTGCACAGACATGATGAGCTGAATGGCATCGTTCTATGCTGTGTTGTTCTATGACTGTGCTAATTCTTTAGAATCTTCAACAAATTTTGTTGCTAGTTCCACAACATCTATATTATTGTGTTGTTGGATTGGAGTAGTTCCAATAACTTCCAAAAATTGCTAGCTATAAATTGTTAACTTTATTATAACATATTTATAGATATAAAAACTTTCTTTTCCACCAACTTTCTTCAATGTCACTTTCTTTAAAACTCTCGGATTGCATTAGTGTGTGCCTTTCCTTCAATGACATCACAGACTATTATAGGAGCCCTGAATGGGACTCAATATAACACATCCCATAATAGCATATTTACGGCCCCCTGATCTCCACCCCTCTAATCTCCACCAAGCCTTTGTTCAGACTTCAGCATTTTCTAATGCCCCTGAAAACCCAATGCTTCTGTCTCCTAGGCATTCTTAACATTTTCTGAATTTTCAGTCTCTTTGGTCAAAGCTGATTTTTTTTCTCTGTCTCTTTTCTCTCCATCCTTCATTTGTTTTTGAGATTCTCACCTCTTAACCAAACATCCTGCAGCATCCTCGCTAGTCTACCATTATTTGTTCTCCACTCAGTTGTAGTGAATAGCTGTTCTCATTCTGTTGTTGACGAGTGAAAGCCTGAGCTTGCATTGAGGTAATATCTGGGCTGTAAGGGCTATTGGTGGAGGAGGACAAAAATTTGCAAGGAAGAAGCATGGGGAAGTCCTATGAACATATCTTTCAAAAGATCTTCGAATTCAGACTATGATTCATAAATCCTTTAAGATCTGTGAACCATGAATCATGGAAAAGTTGACCTGACTTCACAAAAAGCACTGAATCTAAAAGATTCTTACCCAGCAACACATCTGGCCAGGTCAGAACACAGGTTCATGACACACAGCCTTATTCTGTGTTGTCCAAAATTAGGGGAACTGGGAATGGAAGCAAGAATCGGATCCTGCCTGCCATTTTTAAATGTCTGCAGAGTCCTTTCAAATCCATGATTTATATGAATATGGGCCAATACATCATTTTTTTTTCCACTGCAAACATGGTAAAATACCACAAAACAAGATCATGATCAGGGTGCCTTTCATTACCTTGCCTCCTGTTCCTGTGTATTTTGAACATGATAGGCTTCACGAGAATGTGATAGGCTAAGGAAGGCACTTGGAGCTTCAAAAACTGTGCTTTGTTTTCTTCTTAGTCACAGAGCTATATAGCATGGAAACAGATTCTTTGCTCCAACTCATCCATGCTGACCAGATATCTGAAATAAATCTAGTCCCATATGCCAGCATTTGGCCCATATCCCTCTAAACCTTTCCTTTTCATACATTCATCCAAATGCCTTTTAAATGTTGTAATTGTACCAGTGTCCACTACTTCTTCTGGCAGCTCATTCCATACATGCACCACACTCTGCGTGAAATCTTTCCCCTCTCACCTGAAACCTATGCCCTCGAGTTTTGAACCACCCCACCCCAGGGAAAAGACCTTGTCTATTCATCCTGCCCATACCCCTCATGATTTTATAAAACTCTCTAAGGTCACCCCTCAGCCTCTGACGCTCCAGGGAAAATAGCCCCGACCTATTTAGACTCTCCCTATACGCAAACCCTCCAATCCTGGCAATATCCTTGTAAAACTTTTCTGAACCCTTTCAAGTTTCACAACATCCCTACTGTAGCAGGAAGACCAGAACTGCATGCGGTATTCCAAAAATGGCCTAACTGATGTCCTGCACAGCCACAACATGACCTCCCAATTCCTATACTCAATGCAATGACCAAAAATGTTTTATTTTGTGGATTGGTTTGTGAACTCCGATCCTAAGTTGGAAAATGCATAGGGGTTGGGGAGGAATGGAAGAATGGACCAGTTCTGACAATGGTGACTGATCTCTGGAATGTCAGGCAGCATGGAAGAGGTGAGCACTCCCAGACGTGCGGTAATGATGGCTGCTGAGTCAATGCAGATAAGGTTCCCTGCATAAACTCAATGGGGTCAGCACTAAAGTGTACGTTCATAGTGTTAAAGCTTGGAGCCCATGTAGTGTAATGGACTGAATGTTGAGCCAAAGCAAAGAAGAATGTCTGCAATATCTAAATATTTAAACTAACTTCAGTTGTAGTCAATTGATTAAAGCTGAAAAGTGCAAATATAACTCAAGCCGTTTTTAATATTTAGAAATTCCTTACTTCAGGAGATCTTATTGCACCTCTCTTGAGGTCAGAAACATTCCTTGGCAACCTTACAGATGAGATAGAAAAGCTTGTGTAGAGTTAGCTTATCACTGGATTGTAACTGATTGAGCAGCCATTATAGGGGATATTCCAATTTTCCATGATGACGTCAGATGAGCTGCAACAATCTTGTTAAAATGGCAGAAATGTTGCAGATTAATGATGGACAATTCAACCTGAATAAGTGCAGCTTCTCATAATCTATAGTGTTGTTACTAAGAAATGAAATATTTAGAGATTCCACTGTCTTTGTTTTTAATAATAGGAAAGACAATCTACTGTGAAGAAAAGAGATGATAGTTCCCAACAAACAAAAAAATCAGAGGAGCGCACCAAAATTCAAAGAGCTAACTCTGTCACTGTGGATGGACAGGGACTACAGGTATGTTGTTCGATAATGCCAGGATCATTACATTAAGCTGTTCTCTTTAGGATGTATACCTTGTTTATATGAGAAGACTAAGAAATGGAGAATACATTCTACTGCAGTTGTTTGTTTTTGAGCAAGCTGCTCATTAATCATCCAGAACACACTGTCTTTAGATATCTAACTGAGACAGTAATGTGACTATAGTATGTTTGAGCTCGACACTGTGAGACAAGTGGGGTAACAGAGTCAAAAAAAAAAGCAAAATCTTGAAAATCTCAACCGGTTTGGCAGTATCTTCAGGAAGAAAAACAGAGTTAATAATTTGAATTCAATGATTCTCCTTTGGAACTCAAGGCTTGCAGAGATGTGATGTGTTTTACGCAGTTGAAGTGGGTTGGGCGGCCCGGAAAGAACAGAAGGGAGGATCTGGAATATGTTAGAGAATGGGAGTGATTAAGTCACAAAGGTATCATGGAACAAAAGGTAATGGGAATGATAATGGTTGAAGTCAAGAAACAGCATAAAATCCATCACATTTCTTCCCCTTATCCTTTGAAGAAGACACATTTTTGACTCAAAATATTAACTGTGTTTCTCTTTCATGAAATCCTACCAGACCTACAAACTATTTCTATCACTTTGTGTTTTTGTGGTGATATCTTGTGTGTACCTGATTCTGATGCAACACAAGCCTGCCCCCACAGCCCCAAAGAAAAACTTGGGCCAGGGTGCATCTCAGTTTGACAGCTGAATTTGGGCAGGTGGTCTGAAAAACAGGAATAGATCCCAGTTTTGCAGTACTTTCAGCCTGTGGAGAGAGGACAGGAAATTCTGATGGACCAAATGGTGACTCTGTTGTCCACCTGAATAACAGGGAGTTCTTAAGCTCTATTAGGAAATTCCTGTGAAATCCTACAGGAGCATGCAGTAGTCTGTTCCTCTCTGGGCTTAGTAAAGGCCCCAAAATGCGTCAGGGTATGAGAAAATAATGATACCTCTTGGATTGACAATTTAATAGTTCTTTCAGAGTTTTGCCTTCTTCATTTCCATGAGGCATTCCCCATGTGTTTTGTACAGTGATAGTGCTTGGCCATTCTAGGCATTCTCAAGGCAGGTAATGCTGTTGTGTACCTGCAGGCATCATTGGCTCATTTTCATGGTGCTAAGTATCCCATGCTTCAGGGTGGTGCTGGTGTCTTTGGGAATTGCTGGACTCAAGTCTTGCTCCACCCACAGTTCCACCGGGAGCACAAGGCCATTAGCATTTCAGCCCCTTTGTCTCCTAATCAGAGGATAGTAACCTTTGACCCTAGCTAAGCTGTCAGACTCATTTCGGTCATGAAACAAGAGGCTGTGTGTCATCAACCTGTCTAGAAAGGAATTAACTATTTACATCAATATTTGTTTTGGCATTTGTCTCTGTCCAGTCAAATTGTGTCTCACTAACTTGATTGAGTTTTTTTGAAGAAGTAACAAGGGGATTGACGAGGACAGAGTGGTGGATGTGATCTATATGGACTTCAGTAAGGCATTCAACAAGGTTCCTCGTGGTAGACTGGTTAGCAACGTTAGATCACATGGAATACAGGGAGAACTAACTAATTTGATACAGAACTGGCTCAAAGGTAGAAGAGAGAGGGTGGTGGTGGAGGGTTGCTTCTCAGACTGGAGACCTATGACCAGTGATGTGCCACAAGGATCGGTGCTGGGTCCACTCGTTTTTGTCATTTACATAAATGATTTGGATGTGACTGTAGGTATGGTTAGGAAGTTTGCAGATGACATTAAAATTGGAGATGTAGTGGACAGCGAAGAAGGTTATCTCAGAGTACAATGAGATCTTGATCAGATTGGCCAATGGGCTGAGGAGTGGCAGATGGAGTTTAACTTAGATAAATGTGAGGTCCTGCAGTTTGGAAAGGTAAATGAGGGCAGGACTTAAATACTTAGCGGTAAGGTCCTGGGGAGAGTTGCTGAACAAAGAGACCTCGGAGTGCAGGTTCATAGTTCCTTGAAGTGGAGTCGCAGATAGATAGGATAGTGAAGAAAGTGGTTGGTATGCTTGCCTTTATTGGTCACTGCTTTGATTATAGGAGTTGGGAGGTCTTGTTGCAGCTGTACAGGACATTGGCTCAACCAGTTTTGGAATATTGTGTGCAATTCTGGTCTCCCTGCTATAGGAAGGGTGTTGCGAAACTAGAAGGGATCAGAAATGGCTTAAGAGGATGTTGCCAGGGTTGGAGGATTTGAGCTATAGGGAGAGGCTGAATAGACTGGGGCTATTTCCCCAGAAGCGTCAGAGGCTGAGGGGTGACCTTATGGAGTTTTATAAAATCATGAGGGGCATTGAAAGGGTAAATAGATAAGGTCTTTTCCCCGGGGTGTGGGCGTCCAAAACTAGAGGGCATAGGTTTAAGGTGAGAAGGGAAAGATATAAATGGGATCTAAGGGGCACAGAGGGTGGTCTGTTTATGCAATGAGCTGCCAAAGGAAGTGGTGGAGGCTGGTACAATTACAACATTTAAAAGGCATCTGGATGGGTATATGAATAGGAAAGGTTTAGAGGGATATGGGCCAAATGCTGGCAAATAGGACTAGATTTATTTCGGATGTCTGGTCGGAGTTAACAAGTTGGACCAAAGGGTCTGTTTCCGTGCTGTACATCTCTATGACTCTACGATTCTAATCAAGGACTTCAGTTTTATGCTCAGAAATTTATGACCTATTCTAATAGGTTAGTTCCCTTTGATAGGATTCCTGTTTTTCCAGCGAATGCTCCTCCCTGCCGTTCCTGGACATTGGGGACAGCTTATGAACTGTCAGAATTTTACTCGGGCACCAGTTTTGCAACTGTTCCCTCAAACATGAAAGCTCCACAACTGTAATTATGTGTACCTTTGTCATTACTCGGTAATAGTGACATTTTACATTTGTATGTGGTCCATGGCAGCAACATTCAGATTGTCTTAAAACATACACAAACAGCTGTTTTGTAGCTGCTAGTTGGTTGCAGTCAGCAAAACAAAATTCAGCAGGACATGATCTAACATTGTGGTAGATAATTGTGGCAGTGTTGTTGCAAGTTAACATTCATTTCCACTGTAGCTTCACTCCATTACTGTTTCCTCATTTAAAACAATGGGAGGGCATTCTAGTGCAGAGCGAAAAAAATATATACCCTTGGGCTGGAACCTTGAGCATGACTGGATAAAAAATTCAATCAAGTCAAAGAAAGCGACTTTTTGTGTTACCTGCTGACATTCTCCGATTCACACCAGTCAAATTGTGAAGAACATTAGGACCACATGACAGAAGTATAGGCAGTTAAATGGTTTCACCCCTAAAAATAGTATTGTGGTACACAATTAACCCATGCTTATTCATTGTGCTGCAGGCAGCATGGCAAATTTTGTTGCCTGCAGTTTTAAATGAATGCTGTGTGCAGCCAGCACCACTTATGCAGCTTTTCTTTTGTCTGCATTTAGGAACCTGACATTGTGAGTGCTATATAAAGGTAGCCTGCAACTCTTAAATGGGAAGAGTATTGTGGCTGCAGGAGATAGCGGGCGTCTTTGGAAACTGATCTTGTACTCTGCAATTTGAGTATGTGATGAAAAATGTGATGGATTGTGCACCAAGATTATTTGTCATTGAGCAGGAAGTTGTGGTGCAAAATGTGGAGCAAAACCAATATTTACAATGGGGCAAGGGAGCCTCTAGACAGGTGCTGAGGAGACGGTGAAAACAAGTAATAGCAGAGGCTAATATCAAGTATGTCGTTCCAAGAAGTAGAAAGAAGTTTAACAATCTTGCAAAAGGGTGGATGAATTCAACTTCAAGTCATATATCCTACCAAATTCACTGCTTAATTTGCTACACCCCCATTATCCAGTTACAATCATCAATCAGTGTCAATCAGTTCTCATCCTTTTGAATCATATTTTACTCACCATCAGCGTTGTCAACAGTGCAATCTGAACTCACAGTTCATTAACACTGGCAGCTCTTCATCCATTTTGGGCTGTAACCATTGGAAATCTTTCTTTTCACAAATGTCTTTTGTGTAGTGAAGGCATTTCAAATATTGTTTGTTTATGTCATTGCAGTAGACAAATTGCTCCCTGAAAATATATAGTGGATGAGGCCTCTTGCTGAAAACTGTTTCCCTACCTCCTCTTCTATCTTACAACAGCCTATCCAACTCTGTGAGATCTTTCTACATTCACCCAGCCATGTTGAATTCCTAGAGGCAATGCTGCCAAATCAGCCCTGTGAGAAAGCAACAAGGTTTTGAATCACCCAGAAAAAGTAGACCATTGTAGACAGACTATTTTAATTTCATGAATATGTAGAAAACACCAATGACAAATGCAATTACACCAGCCCTCAGGAATAACAATGCTCCAATTAATCTGAGTTAACAATAGCCAATTATCCCTTTGAAAAAAGAGCTGGAGAAATAGAGCTGTGTGGAGCCTGTGTCATTCATGAATGTTCACCTTTATGAGTATGGAATTCAAAATCCTTCATATCTGCTTTACACACTAGTTTGAGACCTACTGCTGCCATATGGGTTGTAAGTGGCTGTGAAGTGTACACATTTACTGGATAGCTTCCTGTGCAGTTCCTGCTGAAAATGTGTTGCTGGCATCATGAGCCCATTTGTTTGAGCCTTATGTAGCCACACAGTGCCTCAAAGTTTGGATGTTATGTGACCCAGTTTGAAGTACAATAATTGACACAAAAAGATAGCCAATGTAATTTGTGAATGCTACAAACACCTGAAACTAACAGTCAAGATTGTCTTGAAACCTAGTAATAAATGACCAAATAAACAAACAAAACTTAAAGCAATTGCTTAACGATACTGTTACAATGATTTAAAACCAAATGGCATGTTTTCTGATGGCTAGGTGGATGAATGCAGTGGCTCGTTTAAACTCAAAAGGAATAAGAAGGTTCTAAGTTTCTTTTGTCTGTGCTAAGTTTGCTGATTTTAGCTTAGCTGGCAG